CAACTCACTGCAGTCAATCAGCGTGTCCCAGGTCAGGATGCTAACAGTCCTCCTTGACCAAAGTGAAGTGAACCACTCAACTGTTTCTTCCCACCAGGATTCAGGCAGAACGGGTGCTGAAGTCAGTGGGAGCGGGGCTCGCAGCACAACAAGGGCAGTGGGAGAGGAAGCAGCAAACCTTAGCCCCCAGGGCTGTATAAACCTACAAAGTGAAGTCCTTTAATCCACAGTTACCTTCTCAGTGCAGCCCTGTGTTACATGGGGTGTGTGAGGCATCCCTGCCCATGGCAGGGGGTAGGAACTGGGTGATCTTAAGGTCCTTTCCACGCCAAACCACTCTATGAGATGAAACAGGCAAACTCCCAGGACATACATGGCACTGCACAAAGAGGGTGTTTAAAGTGAGGGCATTTCTACCTCATTTTGTAGCAAATTCAATTTGGAAAGAAATATCACACCCCTGTAAAACAAAGGTCCAGCAAATACCCTTCTTTCTCATCAGCTTCACTGATGCACAACAGCATCAGGATTGACCTGTTCCTTTTGCCTGAGGCACAGAGCTCCATCCCTGCAAACAGAGATGGTGTTTGGCTTTGGGGGTTAATTTGACAGCCTCCTGTTGTGAACAGAGCTGTGCTTTACCGTGCAGTTCACAGCAGTGCCCGCTTGCTGCCCGTGTGTCTGCTCCACCTTCTCTTCAACTTAGGGTAGAGTGCATGAGGGGTAGCATTGTGGATAGCGCAGGTGATGGGCTTGTGCGGTGCCAGCTCCAGGAGATGGTGCAGATGCTCATGTATGTGGTCCTGGTGTGCCACGTTTCACACTGGGCTTCCCTTTTGCAGGTCTAGAGAGGGGAGAAGGGGTTGATTTAGTTTGATGTGAAAGGAACAAGGAGGTGCTCAGTGTATGGCTGCTGCTGAGCTCCTTTAGCCTTGGTCTGCAGCGTGGGACATCCACGAGCAGGCTCCTAAATCCATGGCAAACATTTCAGCTAGATACAGGCAACAGAAGGACTTCAGGTCCTCCTTATCCTATTTAATGAAGGTAATCAATTGTTACACTAATTAAGGAAGGCTTTTTAAGCACACCCCTGACTTGTGCACTGTCCTCTCAGGGAGCCTTTCCCCACACTCAGAAGTGAATGAAGAAGAGCTCAGCGCTTTTCTTGGAGTTAGGGAAGCCGCTCTCAATCCATAAGGACTTTTGCCTGTTGCAACCCCGTTCCTTGCAGAGGAGTTTTAGGGTTAGGGTTAGGGTTAGGGTTAGGGTGTGCTCCCAAACTGCTTGGAGTCACTGGGCTCCAGCAACTGATGGTTTGCTGCTGCTTTAATGAGCTGGGGGTTTGGCTCCGGTTTGCACTGCACATTCATCAGTGGGGGAAAACGAATCCTTCCACTGTCAGCAAGAATCCCAGGCCAGCCCCTGAGGCGCCCTTTAATGGAGTGAATTGCGCTGTTAACTTCCCAAGAGCTCCATTTCACCCACTGGGAGCCGCTGGGAGCAGCAGGAATGCCCTCTCTAATTAAAAGCTTACATCTGTTGCAGTTGCTTAAACCAGAGCTGTGTCACTGCAGTGCTGCTGAAGCACAGCTGGCCTTGAGGAGATGATTTCCAAAGGCACTTGGAACCCACCTGCCCCATCGGTGCAACACGGAGCTCTGCAGAGTGGTTTTTCCCCTTAGCAGCAAAGCATCTTTGCCCAGGGCTGGTAACAGGGGTTGATGTAAGTGAAGAATGCAAACATCGCCCTCAAAGGGGTGAAAGCACAGCTCTTTGTTAGCGTTTAGCCCTTGGAAAGCCAGGCAGGGATCCGCAGAGGGCTGGGTAGGGTAAATATCCATCACAAACAGGACAGGCTGGTCCCTTCTTCAGCCAGGGGAAAGCAAAAGTGGCTGTGGCACTTCACATTCTGATACAGGTGTAGGAAGATTGCACCCAAGGGGCAAAGGCCTTGCTGCTCAGTGCCTCTTTCCTTGAACACTGTTCTTGTTCTATACCAAGCTATTGTATTATTATGCCAAACCATTCCAAGGTCATTCTGGCAGTGATTCCTGGTGTGTTCTGCCTTTCAGAAATGAAGATTGTAGGTATCCCATTCCTGTTAATTCAGGGGGAGGAAGGTTCTTTCTGAGCGTACTGATCTGGGCAGCTAACCCCCCTATGTTTTACTATGAATCCCATGAATGTACAACAATCGACTGTATCCAATTTAAAAGATGCTGGATTTACAAAGAACAAGGCTTCAGAGATGTGAACCAAACCTTCTCGTAACCCAGCTTTTCCAAGTGTGAGCCTGGCCAGAGCAGGAGCAGGGATTTTGGTGCTGGAGCACTCCCTTGCCACCAGCTGGGTTGGGTGCACTTGGCACCAGAGCTGGGTTTGTGCAGAGCAGGGGGTCGATGTGCAGGAGCAAAATGTGAATTCCTCATGGACAAAAGGGTTTATTTTCGTCCAAACAGGCAGATTGCAGTTATTCTGATAGGGTTTTCCTGCTGACTCAGGGGGATGGGGGGAGGCAGAGGGAGAGCATAAAGAAAGGAGTTCTGTCTGCCCGAGGAAATGGGTTAACTAAAGCTATACACATCCTCACTGCTGTCATCTAAGAAAGTCATCTAAGGCTGCATCAGCCCCTCTGCTGCTGTTCCTTAATGCCTGTTGGGGAAATAGAGGCACAAAGCCATGGTGATGGTGGTCCAAAATAGTGCAGAGGGGGATTTGGGATGCAATAGCTTGTATCTCATCTAATCCATGGCTCCAATGATGATTCTGAATGAGCAGTTTGGGAAGGGGAAGGAGTGAAATACGGTCACCCCAGGCTCAGGTTGGAGGCACATAGGAGCACGTTGTGCCCTGGGAGCACACAAGTGTGGTCCTTTACAAGCACCAAGTGATGCACAACGGGGGCCACAAACACCTCATGTCTTTCTGTTGCAGGGTCAGTGCTCAGTGATTTGGATTACTCAAGATTAAAGAAATAGACATAGGAGAAGAGAACCTTACCTCTCTTTTTGCCTTTGATTCACTACACATCCCCCTCCCATCCACCGTATATCAGATGAGGAACGTTTAGGTTGGATTTTGGCACCTGCCTGCTTTATCCCTTGCGGGTGCGATGCTGCCGGGTTTCAGACACCCACCCCTGTCGCTCACTAACCTTTTACACCTGCATCTCCGTCTCCTGGTGTCTAAAATGAAGGAGAAAACGTGTCAGTTCAAAGGCACCAAATCACAGCTCAGCAGAGAAACGCTGCAGTGAGGCAGGGCTGGCGCTCCCCAGCAGCTTGCTGCCTTCAGGACATATAGAGATGGATAAACCCAGCTTGTTCTGGAGGAAAGCCATGCAAGGAAGCAGTGCTGCGGCTCACATTCCCCTCAGGTTTTCACATGAGTCACAGTACCAGCATCAGCCTGGGAACACTGACAGGGAATGAGGTTTCCTTGCTGTCTCTAGCAGCTTTGGCACGTTGCTGAAAACCCATTGGCATCAATTAATTCCTAGTGGGAATGATGCCAGCTCTTCCTCATTTGAGCATCTAGGTGATTACTCTGGGATGTGTTCAGCAAAATGCAATGCCTGGACATTCATTTTAGTATAGGGGGGAATCTGCCCTTGAGGGCTGGGGCTGCAGCGATGAGCTGCAGCTCATGGGTTTTCACTGAGCATTCACATCAGCATTAGAAGGCAGGAATAAATCACTGAGTGGTGTTTGTAGCTTAACTGGGGAACCCTGGTGAGTACAGAGGGGACTGGCACCAACTCTGCTGCAGCATCAGCCATTTCCCTCAAGGAGAATTATGTTTTGCTGGGGCTCATCAGTGTTTTCTTCCTGCATCCTTCCTATTGCTGCAGGCCCTGATGCTGAGTATGCAGGGCTCATAAAACTGCATGCTGAAAAACTTATTTTCAGCCTTCCAGTACCTAAAGGGGCTGCAGGAAACCTGGAGAGGGGCTTGGGACAAGGGCCTGTAGGGACAGGCCAAGGGGAATGGCTTGAACCTGCCCGAGGGGAGACTGGGCTGAGCTCTTAGGCAGAAGCTCTTCCCTGTGAGGGTGCTGAGGCACTGGCACAGGGTGCCCAGAGAAGCTGTGGCTGCCCCATCCCTGGCAGTGTTCAAGGGCAGGTTGTACACAGGGGCTTGCAGCAAGCTGCTCCAGTGGAAGGGGTCCCTGCCCGTGGCAGGGGTTGGAGCTGGATGAGCTTTAAGGTCCCTTCCAACCCAAACCAGGCTGTGCTTCTATGATATTCCGTGCTATTTCAGCTGGCTCGGCTGGTAAATCCATCTCACACCAGCTCCAGGCTGTGGGGAGAGTGAGGATCCAGTTGGGTTCATTCAACAGCAAAATTGTGGTGCTCCAAACAAAGGAGCTGAGCTGGTTTAATAGAATCAGTGCAACCTCTGCGGTACCTCAAAGCTGAACTGATTTCAGTGAGCACTAAATTGATCTCAATACATTTGCACCCGCTGCTTGCTCAGGGTAGTGAAAGGTGAACTTTCACCAAAGGACTCTTGCCTACCCAGAGATTCTGTGTTGCTGCTTTACCTGCAGCAGCCTCTGAACCCGTGGGGTTAAGTCACTCATCTGGCTACAGCTCAAGCGGCTAGCGAGAGTCCTGGCATTTGAATTCACAAGTTGTGTGCCCAGAGCATGTTTATTCTGTCAAAGTGTTTAGGTTCTGGTACTTTCATCCTCTGATACATCAATATAAGGATGGTAGAGCCAATACAGTTTGGTAGAGCGAAGTTTTCTCTACTTATAATCTGTTTTTATTCCTTGAAGGTCTTTTCTAACCTAAATCATAGAATAACAGAATGGTTAGGGTTGGAAAGGACCTTAAGATCATCCAGTTCCAATTCCCTGCCATGGGCAGGGACACCTCACACTAGATCATATCACCCAAGGCTCTGTCCAACCTGTCCTTGAACACTGCCAGGGATGGAGCATTCACCCCTTCTTTGGGCAACCCATTCCAGTGCCTCACCATGCTCACAGTAAGAACTTCTTCCTTATATCTAACCTGAACTTCCTTTGTTTTAGTTTAAACCCATCACCCCTTGTCCTGTTGCTCCAGTCTCTATGATTCTATGGTTATAAATTGATGCTTATTTCTCAGCCTCAGCCTACTGATGAGTACAGTGCAGTGATTTTAGCAGCGGTCCTTCTCAAGGGCTGCCTGTCCTGGCTATCTGGTGCCTATGTAAAGGGGATCGTTGGAAGATCCCTGCAGCCCCGAAGGCCAGGGCTGCAGTTTCAGGCTAAAGGGATGTCTACAGAGGGTTCTGGGTGGCTCTTACGTTGGCACAGCATGACGGTGACTGCCAGGGCGAGCAGGAGCAGGAAGCAGGCGACTGTCATGGGAACCCAGATGAAGATGTCACATAGCAAATCCAGCCCTTTCTCCTCGCTGGTCTCTGCAGGAAGAGAGAAAGGGGAAGGTCCACCGTGTGCTGGTGGAGCCAGGGGACCTGCCTGGTGTTCAGTGAGGCTGGTGGTGAAGCAGAGGGTTCCCCCTGCCCCACCGGTGACCTCCACAAGTGCATCAGTTACTGCTGATCATTCACATCAGCATCAAAAGGCAGCAGTAAGCCTGTGAGTGGTGTTTGTAGGGTAACTGGGCAATCCTGGTGACTTCAGAGGGAATTGGCACAGCAGTTCCTGGGAGGACGTGTAGCCAAAGGTGTTCTTGTATCCCCTGCTGAGTCCAAACCCATCCCCAAACCTCCCTCCACGTCTTCCCAGTGCGCCCAGGCATGAGACCCACTCATGCTTTTACATCATTTCTCCTACATGGGATGAAACGCTGGAGTTCAATCCTTCCAACTCTGCTAAAGCTCCATGGGTTTTCACAATCCCCACATCCCAGAATGCCTCCAGGCTCCCCCTCGGTATCAATGGACCAGAGCCCAGCTCTTCCCCTCTCCCTTCATGCAGCAGAGCTACCTGAATCCAGGGTCTTCGGGCAGAGGTCCCTTTCGGTGATGTTGGGTGCTGGGGTGGTGGGTGATGGTAGGGTTTTGGGTGCCACTGTGGTGGTGACTGTAAGTGAAGATGGACGTAGAACACAGTGAATGGATGTAGAACACAGTGAACGGATGTAGAACACAGTGAATAGCTCCCTCCTGCCCCTATGCTCTCCCTGCCCAGGCCATGCCCCCTGCTCGTGCTCAGGTCCAAGGGGACCTCATAGAGCCCACGTTGGGTTGTGGCTCCCCCAAGACCCAGTAAGGAGTTGCAGGCTCCTTATTTCTGACTCCCTGCCAAGGGGGTGGTGGTGGACTTTACTTTAGTCTTATCCCTGAAGAGCCATGGATGGGATGGAGAAGCGGGGATGGGGAGAGGTGATGCTGTGTCTGTCCCATCGCCTTTGCTTTTGGCCATGAGATGCAAGCAGGGAGCCTCTGGCTGCACTGGTTATGAAATACCTTGGTCAGGCAAGCACGGACCATGGGGTCTGTGGGAGAGGGGACTGGTTACAACAGGCAGGGACAGGAGGTGCTGGGTGTTCTGGCAGAGCTAACCAAGGTTGGGTGGAGGTGTTGCTGACCTGGGAGGAAGACGGGCTGGCCAGGGCTGAAGTAAAGGGCTTGGTTGGTGTTCATGAGGCAGAAATAGTTCCCCTGGTCCTGTGGCATGAAAGACTTCACCACCAACCAGTAGAACCTGCTGTCTTTCCCCGCCTCAAAGTGTTTGGATGTCCTCATATTCCCCCCAAAGGTGGTGCGGGAAACGGAAGAGATGAAGACAATGAAGCGGAAGGTCCCAGCCTTGTGCTGGTGGACCCAGAATACGCCACTGCCCATGTTGGTGCTCACACACTGCAGCAGCAGCCGCTGTCCCACCCGGGGCTGCGTGATGCTGTGGATCTTCATTGTATACCTCTGGCCACGGATCCCAGGGCAGCCTGTGGGAGAGGAACCCTTGTGGGAACCGCTTGGGAAGAGCCATGTTCCTCCGGACAAACCTCGTTCCTTGTCCATGAGGTCAAACGCAAAGGGAGGACCATGCTGCCTGGATGACTTGAAGGTTTTAGTGGAGTCCTTGCTGGGATTGTGCATGGAGGCTGCTCAGCAATCAGCCACCCGGGCTTTAAAGGTGGGTGCTGCCCTTAAAGCCTTTCAGCTGCCTTCTCAGGGATGTTACCCCTTCCCAGCTTACCCAAAGGGACTCCTTAAAAACACTGACTGCTAAATCCCCCTGTTCCCCATTCCCCCTCCTGTCCAGAACCACTTCTCCAACCGGGCTCCCTTCCCAGCACAAATGATGCTGCAGCCACCCATCCATCCGTGCCGCCTTCACCTCCACCAAGCAAACCTCAAAGCCACCATTTTTGGTTTGCTTTTTACATTCCCTTTAACCATTTAGCCCAGTTTCCTGGATTCAGGGGCAGGGATGTACTTGCCCATCCCGGTGACGGTGATGCACAACCCCATAGTGTCCATACTCACCGAGCCCCAGTGCGAGCAGCAGGAGCAACGCAGGAGCCCCGGTCATCATCTCCTTGGTGCAGTGGAGCAGAGCTGATCTTTCTTGCTTGACTTGGGTAGGCTGTGCTGCTCTTTGGGGAGGATGTGATGTCACCAGGACCCTCTTGGGCGATGTTCAGCATCTGCAGCAAAATGAGAAGAAAATAAGATTCCTGAAGAAATCCAGGTCTGATACAGGATTTGGGCTCATTTATCACCATCAGTTCCTAACGGTGCCGCAAGGATTTTGCCTCAATGACTCCCCTAAAGATCCAGACTGACGGTGCTCATGTTTGAGATAGGATCAGCCCCTGCAGCCATCTGGGGGGGTTCAGAGCAGCTCCATCTGCACACAAGTGATGGGCAAGCCCAACGCTTTGGCTACAGGCCCCAGGTTGCAGGGATTCTGCTGCCTTCAGTTGTGCAGACCCGCAGCATCTCACATGGGTGGCAGAGTGCACCCGGTCTCACCACCACATGGGTGTTTCATGGCAAGTGTTGTTTACCCCGAGCACACGTGTGGCTGCCCCGCAGCTGGGCTCTTCAGGTGCCGCTGGGTTGCTCTCTTTTAACCCCTCTCTGCAGTTGCTCTGCAGAAGCCGCTCAGTGTGATGCAGGTGGTCTGTGATGTGAAACCCATCCAGAAAGCCCCATGCCCTGGGGTGCTGCTTTTGACTTCCTGTGGTTTGCTTCTGGAACCACAGGGTCTTCCGCCCTGCCAGCAAACCCCTGCCTGCTCCAACCGGGAGGGCCCTTGCTGCTGCCTCCAGTGACCACTCGCACACGGGTATGGGTGATGCTTCCTTGAGCTTTGCACGTACAGCAGCAACTGCGATGCTGGTGCTCTATAGATCTTCTTCTTACTGGCACTTCTTGGCTTTCCTGTTGGTTGCTTTTCTGTGGGAGGTGTTTTTCTATGACTCCGTTGCAAAGAATTCCCCCTTTTTTGCTTGGTTATGTCAGGAATCAGGTGCTGCTGATGCTGATGCCGTTGCTATTGTGGCTGCTGCTTAATGATGAGTGAAGGAAAATGGTTTAGGAGCTGGCTTTATTCCACTGGGCATCAAAGCGTGTTGGTGAGTGAGGAAAGCTGCTGGTAGGCCCTGCTGGGATGTGTGAAATTCATACTGAGGCTGTGAGACTTGTGATGTCTGCCTGAAATAGAGCAGGTTTTGGCAAAAGGAAGATAAAATGGGTTTCATCAGTTAAATGCCATTACAGGGATCTGGATCTCACAATCCCATCAAGGAAATGTCAGACCTGAGCTCTCTGTCACCTCTGAGCACTCCATGATGTGATACTTGCGTAGTGGTGATACTTGCATAGACTCCTCCTGGTTTCAGTGGGCAACTCTTTCCCCTGATCCTAAGTAAAATTCACCTTCCCTTTATAATGGGATAAGCTGCTCTTGGGAATTGTCTGTCTCCATAAGCTGATGGAGGAATATAGACAAGGAACTGAAACCATGGCCTGCCTTGTAGATGACTGCAGTTGAGTCTTAGGTTTTCTGAGATGCAGAAGTGAGCTGGTCCCTGCCATCCATCAGGATTGTTGTGTGGGTGCCTCCTAACTTTGTCACTATTACACCTCAGTGACAGCAAATGGAATTTCACTTCTGAAATTCCAAAGTACAACCTGAGACTAAAGTAGGAAAATTCCTCATTCCTGTTTTTCAGTATGGTTCAAATGGGAGTGAGTTTGCTGGCAAAAGAAGGTGGTTCAGGTGCTTGTTGGGACCAGGGTCTCACTCTGATGTAGGGTGTGGGTGCTTAACTACAGCGCATAGTGTGTGCCCTCAGAGATACAGTGATGGATGTGCTATACATCTAAAGGATCATCCAGGAGGGGCTGTTGCCTTTTAGCAGGACATCTTCTCTCTCTTCATTATGAATCTCAATGGTCTTAAAGGTCTTTTCCAACATGGGTGATTCTATGATTCTATGGATCAGTGCAGGGTAACAAACCGGAGTCAGAGATTCCTCTCCTGGGTGTAGAGGTGTCCTAGATCTTGATTCTCATGGCCTGAGCTGGTGTCCATGCAAGGCCACCGTTCCCTTTGTTACATTCAGACTGTGTCACCATTCTCCTTTTTCTCTTCACACATGTACTTGCTGAAGCACTTTGTGACCCATCACTGCACGCATGGTGCCACCAGCCCCTGTGTCTTGTGACTCCAGCCCATTGTGCTGGGGAGTCACAGGAGAGGGCTTCAGGGGGAGCTATTCCCTTCTGCTGCCTGCAATAGGCTGCTCATGAATATATCCTTTAAAGGCAAGACAAAAGGTTCTTGTCAGCAGAGAGATACAGCTGCAAGGGGGCTGTCACACATCTTTCTTCTGCATGGACACTCTTTGTTGGCCAGAGGGATCCAGGCAAGTGCAGCTCCAATGGAGACGTCTGTATATGATCGGACAAGACCACCCCTCTTCTGTCCCCCCATCTCATGTCTCTGAAATAACAAATGAGCTGGGGCAGGGATCATTTGTTTATAGAACCATAGAATGGTTTGGGTTGGAAAGGACCTTAAGATCATCCAGTTCCAACCCCCTGCCATGGGCAGGGACACCTCACACTAAACCATGTCACCCAAGGCTCTGTCCAACCTGGCCCTGAACACCGCCAGAGATGGAGCATTCACAACCTCCCTGGGCAACCCATTCCAGTGCCTCACCACCCTCACAGTAAAGAACTTCCTCCTTATATCCAATCTAAACTTCCCCTGTTTAAGTTTTAACCCCTTGTCCTGTCACTACAGTCCCTAATGAAGAGTCAAGAGCTTCTGGCTTCTGTGTTTAGGTATGGCTCAGCATGAAGCTGTTCCTATTTCACAGAGTAATAAGGAAAGCTAAACCAGTTGCACTGTTTGACCATGGAAAGGTCAAGGCACAAGCAGGACCTCCAGGAAAAGCTCCCATTTAAAACCAACACTTGTATAAAGGATTTACATCAGTGATGTAAGTTTTATAGTGATCACCTGGTCCAGAACTGGGAGCAGGAAGTGGCCAAACAAATCAGTTAAGGAATGTCTGTCTGGTTTGGTGGTTTGTCCTCTAGATGGTATTTTGCAATAGACCTGGCATTGTTAGACTGGGGGCCTAAGTCAGACCAGTGAAACAGCAGCATTCATAACATGTTATTTGTGTATATTAATGCAACATATATTAATGTATATTAATATAACTTATTCTATTGTGGTGCCACAGTTATGACAAAGGAAGGAGAAACTCAACCAGTTGCTTCTGCAGAACATCATAAAAGATGGCAGGGGACCAAAGCGGTTGGTTAGCCAGTAGAATGTAATTACTTTCTCTTTTCCCAAACCTAGCTCTTTTACTCATAGCTAAGGTTGTTGGGCTCTGATTGCTGGTGAACTCCAACCTAAGTTGCCTTTGACAGAGGTTTATCTTTATACATCAAGACCAGCCCAGGGCTGTATTTAATGAACGTCAAATAATTAAGCAAAAGGAGACAGGAGAAAGGAGAGAAGAGACAAAATCATGCAGGGAACAGCCTTTTTTGAATGGAGCTTGGCAGGAGGTGAGTTCAGGATTCACTTTGTCTATGATTGCTTGCATCCACTGAACAGAGAAGACAGGGAAATGAGAGAGAGCTTGGGGCATCACTGCTGAAGGAGATGCTGAGTTTCATATATGGTTGATTTCTTAGTCATTTTGGGTAAGGATCTCAGTGACTTCTTCACGGTGGTAAGAAACTCTTCAGCTTCTGAGCATCAGTAATACCACATGGAAGCCTCAGCAAGAGCACATCGCAGGACATGGGAATTACACGGCGATCAACAATTGGTAGACATAAAAGGAGCATCAAAATGAGCATCCTCTATGAGGTCCCTTGTTCTGTTGTCCATGGTATCTCCTCATAGTGCTTGAGGAGGGCTTCCCATTGCAAAGCACTGATGTGGTGTTGCTGATGATGAGCAAGTGCTGCTTGGTCCCTGCAAGTGATCAGTGGTGGGATTGACATTGGACATTGCGTGCTTCAACGCTGCTGATTCTTCCTCTCATTACCCTTTAGAAGATCTCTTCCATGAGGAGGAATGGAAAGTTCTAATGAAGAGTTCAAAATCTAGCCCCAAATCACACAATCGTGTTTCAAACAAAGGGGAGAAAGAATCTTGAGACTGAAGCACACAACTTTTCCGGTGTGAAATGAACCTGTGGTTTATGAGCAGCTTGCTGCCCCCCTCTTTGCAAAGCTGCACCACCACAGGGGTTTGTAGAATGTCAAGTGCAACTGTCACACACCAGATGCTATCTTTCCACTGTAGCTGTTTCCAACTCGGTGGCCAGCACTGCCCTTTCTTCTGTGTACTCTCACACACCTCATTTACAGTGTGCAAACCACAAGCACTCCTGAGCCTTCATTTCTCTGTGGTGCAGACCTTTAGCCTGGTCACTAGGTTGGAGATCTCCCTAATCTCTGTGCTTTGTGGTACCCCGGCTTTGAGTTTAATAAGGATGTGCAATGAGTTTTCCTTGCACAGGCCTCCTACACTTGATGCTGTGAACTGCACAAGGATCTCTCTGGAGAAGGTGAATGTGAAATGATGCATGCAAGGAAAACCAGTCCTTAGTCTATACACTAAGGAGTAATGGCTGTTCCACTGCTGCTCTGACTCTTCACCTCCTGCATCAGGATGACTTGGAGCATGTATTTCGGTAACACCGGTGTCATTTGCAGCTTGTTGCTCAGGGCAGGAATGCACAATCCTAGCCCCAGGAATATTCTGTCTCAATTTCTTTGAAGACACTGATAGGAAATATGCCAACCTGGATTTTGCATTCGGTGCTGATGTGAAGGCAGAATGTGAAGCCCTGGAGCTGGGTGTCAGCACAGCCCAGCACCACTCCTTGGTAACCAACAAGTTTACCTTGTGCTGATGCTGGACAATGGTTGCACCTTAAGCTTTGCTGAGGAACAGCAGAGGTTCTGCCCATGACGCTGTACACA